TTGGCTATTACTGAGCAAGTGGTTGCGATGGAAGCTGAATCTCAGGAGCCCTCTAATGAATTAGCTTTGACAGTCATTAAGGAGAAAGTTCCTAATTCGGTGCCAGTGATATCAAAGACTTGGAAGAGGATAGGCACCAAAGCAGGTAGGCTTCTAAGAGAACCAGTCTCACCTATCATGATTGATAACATTATTGGGGCCAAGAGGATCTCCTCAGAGGGTGAGCAGCAACCTGTTGCTAAATTACCCAAGCTCCTCAAACAAGATGAAAGTTCTACTCTGATCGCCAATACTGAAGAGGTGTGCCAGCCTTGAGTGGCACCCAAATGGTAAAAGTTAGCCATGGTGTGGAATTGTAGAGGGCTGGGTGGGCCCTCTACAATTTCCCAAACCAGAGAGTTATTTAAAACTCATCACCCCAATTTTCTTTTCCTCTCTGAAACAAAAAAAAATCTAAAGCTTTTGTTCATACTGTTAGTAAAAATTTGGGTTTTGAGGACAGGTTTTTACTGTGAATCCTTCTGGACTTAGTGGTGGCCTGGCCTTATTTTGGAAAGCCAATGTTTGTATTAGCAAATTTTATATTAAGACTTTTATATAGCTGTGGAATTTCTTTTGCCTCATGCTGCAACCCACTGGGGGATTTTTATTTACCTCAGTCCTATCAAATCTATCAGAGTTGCACAATGGGAAGTTTTGATTGCAGACAAAGCATCTTGGGGTAGCAGTTGGTTTGCAATAGGGGACTGAAATGATATTCTATCCCCTCAGATAAAGCAGGGGGTATCTTCAGACATCCTAGTTCCTTTGAGGATTTTATCAAGTTCACTAACAGTATGGCCATGGAGGAAATTAAGATGGAGGGGCCTGCTTTCACTTGGTGCAACAATCGAGCAATTCCTGATTTGATTGAGGAAAAATTGGGTAGGGCTTTTGGCTCTTGGGAGTGGAATCAACAACATCCAAATGCCTTTGTATTGAATCAGATCAAAAGTGCCTCAGACCACACTGCCCTTCTTCTGGATCAAGGTCTTCCAAGGGAGAGGAAAAAACAATGTTCCATTTTGATAAGAGATGGCTAAGCATTGAAGGCTGTGAGGAAGTGGTTGAAAAGGCTTGGCACACTGAGGTCCAAGGTACTCCTTTGTTCATTTTGAAAGAAAAAGTCAAGATTACAAGATTAGCTCTCCTCAAGTGGAGTTCTGGTTTCCAAACTCAAAGGCAGAAAACAATAGCTACTTTGAATGCTAAGCTGGAATCTCTTAATGAGGATAAATCAGTCATTGATTGGGAGGAATGGGAGACTACTAGGAGAAATCTGAACATGGCTCACAAGCAGGAAGAGCTCTATTGGCAGCAAAAAGCAAAGTCAAAATGGCTGAAAGATGGGGATGCAAACACAAGGTTTTTTCATGCTTTAACTCTCCAAAGAAGAATAGGAAATGCCATCACGAGATTAATCTCCCCTCAGGGTCTCATCTTTACATCCCAGAGAGACATTGAGAAACATGTTGAAGAATTCTACCACAATCTTTTTTCATCAGAGGGTTGTTGGGGTGGAGACTCCATTCTGCCACTGATTCCTTCCACAATCACAGATGATATGAACCTTGCTTTGCTGAAGCTAGTGGAGGAAGAAGAAATCAAGAATTCTCTGTTCATTCTCAACCCTGATAAATCCCCTGTAGAGGATGGAATGACTGCCGTTTTCTACCAACAATTTTGGAGCATCATCAAGCAGGATCTTATGGCAGTTGTCCTCAGTTTTGTCCAAACATGTATAATGCTCAAATATTGGAATCATTATGTGATTTCATTGATACCTAACTCTCTGAATCCTGAGATCATAGGTCACTTTAGACCCATAAGTCTTTGCAGTGTGGTTTACAAATTAATTTAAAAAATTTTAGCCCTCAGACTCAAAGTTTGTTTGACACACTGCATTAGTGACTTCCAAGCAGCCTTTATTGAGGGCAGACAGTTAACTGATAGTGTAATCATAGCCCAGGAAGCCTTCCATTTCTTAAACAGACATTCTTCTGGCACAAATTTCTTCATGGCTTTGAAATTAGACCTCATCAAAGCCTTTGATCGAGTTGAATGGGTCTGTCTGAAGAAGTTTATGCTGCAAATGGGCTTTCACATGGATTTTGTTAAATTAATTATGTGTTGTGTCACTTCTGCCACCTTTTCCTTCAAAATAAATGGCTCTCAGAGTGGATATGTGACACCTTCAAGAGGAATAAGGCAAGGGGATCCTCTTTCCCCTTACCTTTTATCATTGTTGCTGAGCTGTTATCTGCACTAGTGGTTAATTCTATTAATGAGGGGTTGCTGAAGGGGATGAAAATTTCAAGAAATGGGCCCGTGCTCTCTCACCTTTTGTTTGCAGACGACTCCTTGTTTTTCTGTAGGGCAGGTACTGATCAGGCAGCCATTTTCATGTCATTGTTGCAACAATACAAGCTGTTCACTGGGCAAGCTGTTAATCTTCAGAAATCTTCCATTTTCTTTAGTAAAAACACTCCAAGGCATGTTCAGAATTCTATTGGCTCAGCTCTAAATGGAATCTCTATTCATAGATCAACCAGGTACCTAGGTTTACCCCTGGGGATTGGCAGAGCAAAAAAAGAAGTCTTTGATTACATTCTCTCCTCTGTTAAGAATAAATTGATGAGTTGGAAGTCTAAGTTTCTGAGTCCTGCAGGGAAAGAGGTCTTATTAAAGGCAGTGATCCAAGCTCTGCCTGTGTTCTCAATGTCATGTTTCAAGTTACCTCTTACTCTTTGCTCAGAAATCACTAAGCTTTGTGCTCAATTCTGGTGGAGAACAGACAGTGATACTGAGAGAGGAATCCATTGGAAAAAGTGGAGTTGTTTGGCCCTTCCTAAGCTTCTGGGAGGTTTGGGATTTCATGATTTGGAATTATTTAATAAAGCTCTCATTTGCAAACAGTTGTGGAGGGTGGCTTCAAATCCAAACCTCTTGGTGAGCAGATTGCTTAAGGACAGGTATTTCCCACACTCCTCTATTGTTCATGCTCAAAAAATCCAGGGGGGTTCATGGATGTGGAACTGCTGGATGGATGTTCTTCCCATTTTTGCTAAGGGGATGAGGATTTAGGTGAGGAACGGTTTAAGTACCAGAATAGAAGATTTTAACTGGGTGCCAAATCTGAACAAACCTTCTCCTGAGTTATTGCCTATTGCTAGAGGACATCTGACTTGGGTGAAGGATTTATAGTCTAATGGACACCAGTGGAATAAGTGGCTTGTCTCTCAGGTCTTCAATGAAGCTGACTGTAAAGCAATCTTGAATATTGCCTCTCTTCATGCTGACAGAGAAGATATAATGTACTGGGGTCTAGAGCAGAAGGGTCATTTCACAGTTTCAAGTACATATAAGCATCTAGTCACTCAAAAATTTTTGCTGGCTGACTTTCCTGAGAGCAGTCTAGCTGCTGATATCAGCAAAGGCATCAAGTTCAGATTCTGGAAGCTCAAGGTTGCAAGTAAACTCTAAGTTTTTTTCTGTGGAAATGCCTTAACAATACCCTCCCAGTTGCTGTCCAACTTAAAAAAGAGGAGTGGATCTTGACTTAACTTGTGTTGTATGTGGGGAAGACCAAGAAACACTTGAACACCTTCTTTTCAACTGTTCTAGAGCCAGAAGATGTTGGAAGCTGAGCCCTGTTCAATGGGATGGGCTGAGCAGAAAGACTGATTCATTCTCAGCTTGGTGGTTTCATGTATGTTCTCTGGACAAGTCTCAAGTAGCTGAAGCTCGGATTCAGCTTTCCACTTATCTGCTTTGGTGGCTCTGGAAGTCCAGAAACCTCTGGATCTTTCAAAAATCCCTTATCCCTGAGCATGTGCTAGTTTAGTTGGCTCACTCTGATTGGATGGATTTTTCTGCAGCTTCTAGATAATTTGGTTTTGGGTGTGGTTGCTGTTTTTTTTTTCTCTGGTGTGTAGTTGGTTTCTTTTTGCTTTGAAAGTTTCATTTGGCTAGGCTTTTTAGCAGTGGTTAAAGGTTTCTCTTGTTTTATTGTTTCTCCTTCAGATTTGGCCTTAGTTGTTTCTTTTGGGCTATTAGTTGAGGTCTAGACCACCTCAGGTGTCTCTCAGTTTTTTAGTTTCTTGTTTTGAGTCTTGTTTGTATTTGAACGATGCTCGCCTGTTTTTTATACATAGTTATCTCTGCCGTTTTGGGAAAGAAAAAAGACAATTGTTTATAAATATGTAATGTATATTTATTGTGAATTATTATTAGTTGGTATTAGCAATAACTATTATGTAATATAATAGAAACATACATGATTACACTCATTAAGATGTATTAATGTAAGAAGTAAAAAATATTAATGACAAATTTTGTAACCGAAAAAGGAGGAAAAATTTTAGAGGTTTTATTAAATGTTTTATTAAATGCTACATGCCAGCAATTATATATATAGATTGGAAACTCATTTGTTCTATATTTTACTTCGTTCATGCATCTCTATGTTTAAAAACTTAAATAATTTATTTATTTTATTAAATTTAATCAGCAAAAAGCATCAATGCGATGCACGTGCACTTTACTAGTAGTATATATATTAAATATACAAGTATCTAAAAGAAAAAAAAAAATATTTTTATCATTTTTTTCTAAATTTGATTTCTTTCCATAATAAAATTATTGTAAATTACATTTCCAAGGCATAGTATAATGAATAAATTATAATACTGTAGGATGTAAATTAAAAAACGTACCACTGCAACATAAAAAATTTAATCAACTTCAACAAAAGTACCACACGTAGGCCATAGCCACCTTTTTCCTCCCATGTATAAGATTCGAAAACAGAGAACATTTAAGTATAGCTCTGCAAAAACTATTACTTGATCATATCTATCTATGTTATTTCCTTAACATCACTCAAAGCATCTCCATAAATAACCGACAGCATAAACCTTAGTACCTTAAAACATTTTTCATAAAGGAAAGAAAACCATGCTTCACCTTGCCCTTCGGTAAAACCCATAAGCCACAGCAACTGTGGCGATTGCACCCACCACAGCAACAGTAGTAAGGAGATGACGTTGCTCAAATTTCCCCACCCAACTCGAGAATTCATTCTTCGTTTGTTTTTTCTCGACATTTTCAGCTCGGCAGCACGAAAACCCGTTGACACCCTGGCAACAGCTTCCGACACTTTCCATATTGTCTTCAGTAACAGTTTCTGGAAGTTTGCCATTGACATTTGCATTAGCTTCAGTGGCATGATTCGGTTCCTCTACTTCTACTTCTTTTGCTTTTGCACCCATTTGGCCCCTGCAGAGTAGAACGAAAAGAGAGACTAATGACTGCAGTAATATCGAGGGGATCGAATTTCACATTGTTGAATTTGCAACAATGATTGAACGATACACAGTAGATTTCAAATTACTAGTTAAACTATAACACAGACAAAGTTTTCCGGAAAAAA